TTTTTTATTTTTCTTTATTTCTGTGCTTGATCTAGCTTTATTTAATAAAAAAATTTGAAATCAAAATAAAATGATAGGTATAAGTTCAAACATAATTGCACATTATATATCATATTTTTCTTGCAGTTACTTTTGTTTGGCTGGGGAAAATTTCTAATTTCAAATTGTTTTCCCTGGAAATTTTTAAGTAACTGCTTCATTTTATTTCTGGCATCTGGACTTGTTAGTTTATTAAAGTGTCATATCAATCTGATTGTCATTCCTCTATAGGTACCTTTTTTTCCTCTTTGGAAGCTTTTAAGATTTGTTTTTTTTATCTTTGGTTTTCTAAGTATTTTTTTTAATTCATCTTGCTTAACTCTCTGAGATCCTTTTAATTTGAGCAATTCTTTCTTTGTTCAGTTCTTGACATTTTTTTCTTCTACAGCTGCTTGGAGTGTGTGTTCAGCTTTGTTCTCTTTATTTTTCCTTATAGAAATTCTCATAGATGGATATCAGAATGACTCAGTAGTAAATATATCCTCCAGAACTCTAAATTTTTCTTTCATACTGTTTATTTCTTTGTTCTAGCCCACTGGTTTCTGAGAATTTTACAGCTAAATTTTCAGCTCACATATTATTCTTCCATGATGTCCATGCCATTGTTTTGTCTGTTGGTTCTTTTTCATTACAGCCCTTTCTAGTCTTAGGATAGCAATATTCTCTTTTATCACTCTGAAGATATCAGTGACTAGGAAGACTACAGTATTCCTAAAATTTATTCTTCTTTCTCCCTCACCTGTTTGCTACAGTGTTCATTCTTGTTTGTTGAGTTTTATGCTTCCTTCGCATAGTGTTGGTTTTCTCAGACATTAGTGATTCTCAGCTGTGAGTTTACCTTCACGTCTTTCCTCATCGTGAGAACAGTAGAAGGCACTGCTTGGCTGCACGTGTCAGTACCTGGATTTCTGGACATGGCAGTGCTTTCTCTTCCTCCTGCTCCATGTCACTGCCCTGCTCTGGGCACAAGCCAGAGGGGGACCAAACCCGTGAAGCCACTTCAAAGTTTCTCTTTGTGGGATTTAACCCTCCTTCATATACACCTGCAGAAATCCTCAGCACACATATACACCCCTGTGACGCCCGCATGTCTGTGTTATTCTTCATACTGCTGTTAAAGTCATATAGAAATTCTGGTCACGATTCAGTGTTCACATTATTATGAATATGGGATGTTATGAATATGTTAGAAATGTTGATTACTCTAGGGTTTGTTTTGTTTTTGTTTTTGCACCACATAAAAAGGAAGAACATGCCAGGTGTGGTGGCTCATGCCTGTAATCCTAGCACTCTGGGAGGCTAAGGCAGGAGGATTGCTTGAGGTCAGGAGTTTGACACCAACCTGAGCAAAAGCAAGACCCCTAAAATACTAAAAACAGAAAAATTAGCTGAGCATTGTGATGTACACCTATAGTCCCAGCTATTTGGGAGGCTGAGGCAGGAGGATCACTTGAGCCCAGGAGTTTGAGGTTTCAGTGAGCTAAGATGACACCACTGCACTCTACCCAGAGCAACAGAGTGGACTCTAACTCAAAAAAAAAAAAGAACATATTTCTTGCCTTCAGCTGTAATAAATGTTTTTCTATTTGCTCTCACATAACTCTCAAAACTCATTGAAACATACAATTAAAATGGGTGAATCTTATTATATGTACATTGTACCTTGGTAAAATTGAAATTTTTTAAAAGTTTAAAAAAATCAGTGATCAAACTGATTTCTGCATACCTGATGTAATAAATATTAGGAGATGTGAGAGTAACAGTGAAATGATAATAACTACCTCGGGCATTTTCTTTTTTCCAGGGTGTACCTTCTAATGAAATATTTACCATATTGTCCAGCATTCCTGAGGCTGAAAAATTTGCTAAATTTTGGATCTGCAAAGCAAAGTTGTTGGCAAATAAAGGCACCTTTGATGTTATTGGGCTATATGAAGAGGCCATTAAAAATGGAGCAGCAGTAAGTATCTGACTTGAGTGGGTGACTTCTTAAAATTCTCTTTCATGTGAGTCATTTGCAACCTGGTGATTATATAATGTAGTGTTAAACTTCTAATTCACTTCATACAGTTATACATGGACTATATGTCCTTTATGAATATTTTAATTAAAATATTTTTTAGAGAACAGGATTACATGTAAACCAATAGAATCAGTTTTCTTATCAAGTGACTGTGTCTCACTTAACACTCATATCCAATACTTATAAAGAACCTAAAAATATATTAAACCCAACACATCAGTATAAATCAACACATCACTATAAATCAATAATTCAGAGCTATTGCATTAAATAACTTTTAATACTAAAACCTAGAAAAAACCACTATGTATGTAATTATTTTTCACAAAGATTGCATCAGTTTTATAATGCTTTCCACTTAAATGCCATTTGCCATGTCATACTCCATACTATACAATACCCTTTTCCATAATTGTTCTAAATCAGTTGTGTACATGCACATAGTATCTACAGTTTAGTAGTTCAGTAAGTTTCGTTCAATAAGGCCTCTGCCTCCCTCCCCTCCCATTACCTCTGTCCCAGAGCAAACAGATTATTTTTATATTAGCCTCAATAGTTTCAGAAAACATGTTTATGCTGCTGTT